AGGCATTAAATGTGGTCAGCTTGGAAAAGAATAAAATGAGAAAGTTTGCCTTGACTTTCAGGCTGGAAACTATTGAGTGTTAGCTGTCTTAGATGAGAAACAAAATCATTTCTTCTGTATGTTAGTTCCCTTTTATGGTAATTCATTTACAACACAGTCCTAAATGTGTCTGTTCTTTGAAGATAAGTAGGTCTTGAATAAAAAAACTGCAGTCTGAGCAGAAATGTTTAGAATTTTTCTGTAAAATTACAATTCAGTACAGGAAGTAAATACCACTGAACTGAATGAGGTTTACTTTGAAGTAGCCACATTTCCATCTGCAATGTTTATTATATCACAGTGCTTACTTCACCTTTATCTGAGAACCTCCTTGATAGGGACCTTACACAGTCATATAAATCACAATATCAAGACAGATATTCCATGATATCTGCTTTGAATTAGATTATCTGAGTTCACACTGCCATATAATCCAGTTCAATGTGGATTTTATACAGCTGTGTGGAAGGGGCCTCAGTGTACAAGAACAAGGGACACATATAACAATAGCATTAATAGGTTGTAATCCTAAGATCCGCCACAAACTAGCGTCCTGCGAGAGCAAACTGTGCCAGCATGTCTGATGACGTCGAAGACTCTGCCTCTCTCTCCGCCTCTTTCTCCACCTCTTTCTCTGTGCCAGCGTGGTTTTTCCTTTGCTAGGGCAGCGTTGCCAGCGTACTCTCGTTGTTGAATTCTGTCAACAACGAGAGTACGCTGGCAACGCTGCCCTAGCAAAGGAAAAACCACGCTGGCACGGAGAAAGAGGCGGAGAAAGAGGCGGAGAGAGAGGCGGAGTCTTATGACGTCATGGACGTGCTGGCACAGTTTGCTCTCGCAGGACGCTAGTTTGCGGCAGTTCTAAAGCACTAAGACAGGAAGCTTCACTGAACACATTTCAGTTCAATTGTCTTACACCACATCACAATCCCATTTTCCCAGAGCTACATAGCATGAGGGAAAGAAGGTTACCCATATCTTTTTCCTGCTGTTTGATGCCATACCAGTAGCCATGGATTTCCGAAGACCTCCAGGTCACTGCTGGATGCCTTCACAGAAGACAGTAAAGATGCTTGCATGGCCTGAGGTAAAAGGGGGGGGGAAGGAGGAGGAGGGAAATCTAACCTTCTCTTTTCCTACCTTCTTTTGTCAAGGGTCACTCTTGCTAACATCAGCAAAGGCATCCAATGGTGACCAAAGCTCTCCTGAGGGCAATGGCCACTGCTGTGGTAACAAACAAAAATGAGTGTGGCTATCAGAGTCAAATCAGGTTTGGCCTGTCTTGTCACCACAGCAGAATGGAATTGGGCAGTGAAGTTATGCCCAGGGCCATTCCAGAGTATTATAATTCCAGACAGGCCCTGAATTATGTGACCCATGGAACTCAACCCTAGACAAAGTAAACAAGGAAAGAAGTGTACTAGAATGGCTTCTTTCTGATGCAAAGAGTGACCCCCGAATTAAAAAAAAACATGATTGTAAAAGGACAGTGACTCCATCTGGAGGCATCCAAGAATGGTAGTTTGAAAAATACCATCCTACCTCCCCCAAACACCCAGACATTAGAACTGCAGCACCCCATTTTTCAGTCAAAAATGGGGTGCTGCAGTCCAACACAAGTGGAAACTGTCCTTTAACACATTTGCCCAGTTCTGAGCTGGAGAAATTCTTCCTAAATATTTTATGAATTATTTCAAAGGGTTAGGGGTTTTGCACAGGACTGTTCTTTTTATTTCCATCTATCTGGTTGATGCAGCACCCAACATTTCTGTGGCAATATATAACCTGCAGGATACAATAAAATCTTAACAGTAGGAGAGTGGCTGGCAACTGAAGAAATCCATACGTGGAGTTTCAATGTATTCAGCATGTCTACCCAAACATAAGGCACCTGTGGTACACCAGTCATAGGACCTCTTCACATTAATCTTTGACTCCATCCTAGAATGCTTCCAAGAAGGAGCCCGACAGAGCCCATCAGATGAAGCAGGGCTACTTCTCATTCAGTAAGTTGGGGAAAGCATGCAGGAAGCCAGACAGTGACGCTTTCCCCCATGGGAGGGTGATGTGGGCAATGAGTGGCACAGGTTGATGATTTCCCCCAATGCTCACCAGATTTCCTCCACTTCTCCACAGATGCCCATGCTGTCCCCCAGATTAAGGACCTCCATCTGATGAGGTCTATAGACCATGTGCATATTTTGTTTGATTGTTGTCTATATGCCAAGGTGAAATCCCAATATTTACAATGACTTTTGGTCAGAACAACCAACTGGGATCTAATAGCCAAACTGTCCAATTTTCTTTCTGGGGAGAGTCTACACTTATGTCAGCTGCATAACCAATTTCATTTTAAAGGCCACCCACTTGAGAAATCTCTTTATTTCACAAAATGAAGTCCTTGTCATGGCCATGAACTTATCTAAATTCTCTGACTGATTCTTTTACACTCATCACTCTACCCCCCCTTACTTTCATCTTACTATTTAATCAAGTTTTATTGTGTTTTAATTTATTTTAGTTTAACAGGAGTTTTAAGATGGTGATTAGTGTCTATTTGTCTGTATATTTTTGTCTTTTGTCTTTTATTGCTGATAGGGTCAGTTGAGTAATCAATAAACAGCTTTATCTACCATAAAGGATTATCTGCACTAATGAAAAAAATTGCTGGTACCATTTTTCACTAGTTAACCCTGCACTGACTTTGTTAACACTATATACATCACATAAAATTGTGGTGAAGTTGCCATAATAGTCCAACACATTTTCCCCTGACAAACCCACCACACTGTTAGGAAGCAGTCCACATTCTCAAATGTTTGTTTTACTTTCAGTCTCACAGCCATGGGCACTCTACTTTCATTAACTAACCATGTATGTGAATAAATGTATTTTCTGTTAAGCAAAAGAGTGCTAATACTGAAATACTGATATGCAATTTTCCACACAGATGCACGTTCTATAAAAAAAGTTCATGTTCAACCACAGAAACAATCACTTCCTTGTCTCACCTCCTATCGACCATTTTTGTCTACTACTATCTCCTCCCAGAACTAAACATTGAAGCTGTGCTCTCTGGAAGGCCATCTAACACATCTAACATTTATTTCTCTGTAAAATCTCAGGTAAAATGGCAAAGTTTTTGAAACTGATTTAAGTCCCTAGAGTCACATTGCAAAAAACAAAAAGACAAACAAACAAATATGTGTCAAGATAGGGGTCTATAAGGTGAGTATGATTTTGTTTGGTCTGTATAGACAAATCAAAAGTCTTGTTGATCTCTACAGTATTGATTTATGCATCGCCCAGCTTATGCATTAAGTAAGTGCTCCATAGAGTAAAGATTAGCAAAAGATTTCTTTAATTGGGTGACAATCCTACTCCATGTAATTTACTGAAAAATTCCAGATTTAGTTTTAATTCAACCTTCCGCCTCCCCACAATACATGTCAGTTAAACAAAAGAGACATTGGAAGAGTGGTCTGGCAGCTTGCAGTACAAAATGATCAAGGCAACAACTGTACTCGGTCATAGGGCAGATTTCTCTTTGGAGCAGCTGATGCCTTCACTGCTCTGATCTGGCAAAATGAAGCCTGAAGCAAACCTTTATGACAGGCTTCATGTTTCTGTTAAAACGTAACACGGCTTTGAAATTGAGCTGAGCATAAGTGTTGAGTTACATAGCCCTCTAGTGGCCACACTAATTCCACCACGATTGAGCTGCGTTCATTGATTTGCTGTTGGAAAAAGTCAGCTATATTAAGCCTTGACAACATAGAAACATGGTTTATGTTACAGGCAAAGGTGCCCATGTACTCAGGAAATACAGTGACTCTTACAGTACAGAGTCAACCTCCTCCTTTGATAGAAGTTTTTTTAAGTAAAACATTTTACAAGAGGGAAAAGAAAAACTACTAATATTTTGTGCATCACTTTTCCTGACCTGTTTTAATTACATCGACTTCTTGGCATTCTGCCTTTCCTTAATGGGAGATATGTATTCTCTGCTTGGGTGTCTGGAAGGGAAGGGAAAACACACAATCCAGGAAAAACCCATCCTGCATTGAAATGGCAGGTACACATGTATGAACAGAACTTTCTTAGAAATTCTGCCATAAGTTGCCACCTCTTCTAGAATGGGAAACCCACCAAGAGAGATAAAGTTATTTTGCCAAGAGAGAGGCCAAGACATGCATTGAAAACAGCACAAGATCCAATACTGGTAATGCTCAGTGGGTCCTGCGACATGAGATTGAGATGAACAAGAATGGAGTAGGAATATTATTTGGGGAAAGGTGAGGAGGTGGCTCACTTGGATTTTGCAAACCTACCCAAAAATCACAAAAATGCTGAGATATAAAAAAAGGGAATAAAAAGAAGGTAGCAACAAATCACATGGAGGAGATTGACCAGAGGGTATCCTGGCAGTCCCTTTACTTAGACCACTGCCACCAGATTGATGTCGGGAAATGCAATTTGGAGATTATATAAGATTTATAGTTCTTGATTTGTATTATAAATTAATATAAGATATCAAATAGGTTTCTATTGTGAAAGGTAAAAATGGTTTGTTATGGGCAGCGGAAGGATCTGATGTCACTGCTATCCAAAGTGCCAAACTGTCCTCAAAATATGTTCTGTCCTGAATGTGAAAGACCTATGGTCTAAGGATTAAATAAACTTGCACTTGCAAAATTTGTTCATCACTTTGGATAGTTCTTTTACAGTTCAGGCAAAAACCTGGCCCATTGACACTGCAGCCATTTTTGTAGCTTGCTCTGTGGGACTTACTGAATTACTCCTTCCTTCCTTCCTTCCTTCCTTCCTTCCTTCCTTCCTTCCTTCCTTCCTTCCTTCCTTCCTTCCTTCCTTCCTCTTTATGTTTTACCATTACTTTGTATACCAGGTCCATTCTGTGTTAATGAAAAGTAAAACCTTTGAAGCAAAGTAAAGGGCATTGATTGTCATTGTGAAATTATTTATTTATTTATTTTAAAAAAGAAGGAAAATACAAAAACGAATGTGTCAGGCTTGTTGTGTTGCATTGAAGCCTGATATGCACTCATCTTTATCATCCCATGCTGGGCAATCTTTCTCTTTTTTCCCCACCTGGCACAGTGTTAGCACCGTCCACCTGCTTTTCCAATTTGGCTGCATTCAGGGGAGGGGTTAAAACCATCTGTACATTAGTAGTATGCCACAATAACAACAAGGAAAAAGACTCAAACTAAGAGGAAATGAAGTTCTACGATTAACTGTATTAACTACTTGGAGAACACGGAAAAGATTTTTGAACACCCAATGTCAGCTTTCCTACTTTCTTAACATTACATATCAAATTAAAAAACTAGTCCCCATATTAGCTTCTTCTATATTAATATAGCAAAAAGTTTCTGCTCCCCCATATATGTTTTTATAGTCTGAACATATTGATGATTCTTCAAATTATAGACATCCTCAAAACAAGTTCCTAGGCTATATGTTCTAATTCTTTCCTATGGCTGAGAAGGAATCAATGTAAACCAATATTCATTTCAAACAATAATAACGAAAATATGCATCTTGTTAAAAATTGGAAAAGATCTGCTAATAAATTTGCTTTACGTTCTTCATGTCTACGAAGCTTCATGTTCGACTCTTCCTCTGCTACTCTCTCCTCTTTACCACTATCATAGGATTAGCCTTCACCATAGATTCTGTAGATCTGTTGGCTTGTTACGCATCGGAATGTCAGCACAACAGCCTCCGTTATTGCTATTAGTATTAGGAATTCACCACAATCATGCTCAAATCATTTCTAAACATGATCCTTCCATTCTTCTTGGTGCTGCACTCTGGCTGGCTCAGAGCTTGCCGAAGACTTTGTTTAAGATCATCAGGTGCAGTATTCATAAAGTCTTTAGTCCCTGTGAGGAAGTCCAGTGTATGACCTCCAATGATATCTCCATCGGTAAAGCATTCAGTGATGTCCCAATCAGAAGGAAACTCATACATCTGATATTCTAGCCCCATTTCCTCCAAGATAACTTTGACATCATCTCCTGTGATGTAATGACCACTGTCTGTAGGAGGAAAGCATTGTCTGTATTTCTTCCACATGGTGGTCCATCCACTGTTGCCTATGATAATGCAATACATTTAATTGTTAGTTTCATTCAGCAGTCTGCATAGTTAAGTCGCAAAGGATAATACTGCGGACAAACTGATTTCACTGATATGACATGATCTGCTTAATTCCACATTTATGTGGCCAGGAATGATCCCTCTTTCACCCTTGCCATTTGGCCATCTCTGACGAAGCCATCATGAGGTGTCTGTGATGGCCAGGAGTTCTCCTGGAGCTCTGTGGCCATCTTCAGCAGTGATGGAAGATGACATGGGCCCAATCTATCCCTTTTCCTTGCTCAACTCCAGAGTCCCCTTAGTATGGAGCTAAAGTGTTTTAATCTGGTTTGCAATACAATAAGGATTGAAAGTCCCTGGACAACATGCAGACCTCCAGGAGCAACTTCTCAGACACTGGGGGTTATTGGGTTCATGCAGACAGGGCCTAAGTTGCAACTGCACTTCTTTTTCTAAGTATATTTATTTATTTATTTATTTATTTGTATGCTTATATACCGCAATATCTCAGCCTACAACGGCGACTCATTGCGGTTAACAGTACTTAAAAACAACAATAATCAAACAATTTAAAAGCATAAAAAACATATACAGTACACAGTATCGGGCCACCAATACCGACCAATGCATCTCTTAGTTAAAATCATAATCCGAATTCATCGTCAATAATTACCAGTCCTTGTCATCAACTTCATCGCACCGGATTACCCGAATGCTTGTTCAAACATCCATGTCTTAAGTTTTTTTCGAAATACCAACAGCGAGGGAGCTGATCTTATCTCTATAGGGAGGGCATTCCAAAGCCGAGGGGCCACCACAGAGAAGGCCCTGTCTCTCGTTCCCGCCAGCCGCACTTCTGAAGCCGGAGGGACAGAGAGCAGGGACTCTCCAGAAGTATATTTTCTTTAACATCTAACATTTAGAACTTAGATGTTAAAAGAATATTGGATGCTATGGGATACAGGTTGCTTGAACAGAAAGGCATTTGTTCTGATCTTATATTTCTGTGTTGTTAAACCACTCTGAACGTTGGAAAATTGGCATAAAATATTATAAAGAATGCATAAACATAGAATCATTAGAAGGAACACAGGAAGCACATGTGACAACAGTCTGAGCAGCACCCTATGATGTGGTATATGCAGCAAAGTGTTTACTGCTGCATTTATTTCAAAGCAAATATTAGGTCCATGTCACATAATCCAGGCATAGAAAACAGAAATGGAGGGCACTTATTACCCCCACAACAGGCTTGACTAATTTAACTTTCAACCATAGATTTCCAGGATGTTAATCAGAACCAAATGTGATCTCTAGCAGTATCAGTCCAAAACAACTCCAAAACAACTACTTTTTAGTTGAAGATATCTGGATATCTGTAATATGAGAGAGGGGGCATCTCACCTGATAGAATTATAATCAGAAGTTTAGCATGCTTATCTAGGCAGCTGTGGAAATACTTGATAGTGCTTGCAATATTCTCCACACGGTACAGCATCTAAAAGACACATTGCCACAAATAAAATGTATCATCAGTATTTCACACTGACCTTCTCTGAGTGCCTTTCCATATAAAAATTACCCTGTGCCCCTTCACTGTTATTGCCAGCAGAGACCACTTGTGTTTCCTGTTTTAAAATGCAGAAACCAAGAAAAAATAATATTATTATGGAAATGTAGGCTTACACCTGCTGAAATCCTTCCATTCTTAGTGTACTTTGCAGTCCTCATACCTACCCTAGAAAATTGGGAGATCCTCTGGAACAGTGTGGCTTCAGCAAGAGGGAGGAGTCATCTCCTCACACTTTCCCATTCATAGCAACCTCCACTGGATTAGAGTTTTTCATGAATGGAAAAACAATTTTGGCTGCAGCTTCATAGGTCAGAATCCAACTGGTTGTTCTTAACCAGTTGCATCAAATAAGTAGATCCACCAAAAAAGTTGCTGACTGATTTGTTAATGCATAGGCAAATCCTATCAATTCAGGTCTCAGTTTCATTAAGGATCAGAGAACATTCCGAATCTGTACAGCTCATGCTGTTTTTGGAAACTCCTAGATTTTGGATGGAACAGTTCTGACTAAATTTAAAGAGAACACAAATGCCCAAAACTCAGCATGCCCTATACCACAGAAGAATTGTGGCTATTCCTTTTTAAAATCTTAAGCCTTTCTTTGGATCTATAGAAAAAGATGCTGAAGACAGAAAGGGCCAAGCAGAAATACAGAAAGCAGCACCTGCTTTTGTTTCCTAACATAAAGAGTTCAAATGTTAGATGAACAGCTGATATTCTTTCCAGGTTTTAATTTTACTATGTAATTTAGAAACACTGAAAGAAAGAAGGAAGGAATAAAAAATGAAAAATTCAGATGAAGTGATTTCACTTTTGTCACTATGTGCATATTTCAAATGGCCTTGTTATGGTGTCGATAGTGAGAAACACTCGTTGTTGAAATCAGTATATCTCTGCTATGGAGCAGTGCAGTTTGGACATATGTTTCCTCTTCACCAATGTATTTCTTTTGTACTTTATACTGTATTGATCAAATAAAAATGGATGTGAAAAGAACATTTAAAAAAAAGAAATAATTCCGGAACCTATAATTATCTCAACCAGGGTCCTTGTCTGAGAGCCATGCAAAATGGCTTCCAGACAACCATTTTAAAATTGATTTTTAAAAATGGATGATGAGGAAGCTAGCACTGAAAACAATATCAGTGATGCAGCATCCAGTAAGACAATATTGTACTATACTTTTCCCCAAGCCAGAAACATCATATGACTAGTCCTTAATTTACCTGGATCAGATGTATGAAGTCATATTTCTTTTGCATGCTTTTCTCTTTTGCCTGCTTTTCATATTCCATGGATGTCATTTGGTGCCAGGTAAATGAGACATTCTTAAGGTCGGAACCCATAACTGCATCTATTTATGAAAGAGCAATAGACGAGATTTCCTAAAGTGAATATTATTGGGTCAGTATAAGTAAAAGTATTTTGTTGCACTCAAGCAGTAGATTTTAATGTTGAGATAAGTGATTTTAATGTTTGTTTATGTGTATAATTTTATTTATGTTCCAACACTGAATGTTTGCCGTTTGTATGCTGTGCTCTGCCCTGAGTCCGCTTTGGGATGAGAAGGACAGAATATAAACGTTTTAAATATTTAAATAAATAAATAAATAAATAAATAGATCATGTGTCTGTTGCAAAAATGTCAGATTACAGTGAAGTGTCTGTTAGAAGCACAGATTGAAATACAAAAAGGGAAATTAAACAACCTGAATTTAAACATGCACCTTAAAACTTAACAGTAGTAAAATTACTCACAAACTTGGGTAAGTACCTTGATGTGGGAGCAATGCAATGCTATACCTTTGTATGCCAAAATGTGTTGTGGGTTGGGCTCTATGATTTCATTTTTGATAAAGACTCCTGGATGCTTAGCTTGAATGATTTTAATCATTTTCAAATCCTGTTCACCTATGAAACAACCACAACATGATTTTTAAAGGAAACATAAACCAAGGATCTAACTTCTGATTATTTGTGAACTACAAATCACCAAATCATGTTTAAAATTAGCAAATTGTATCATTCCAAGCACATTCATCAGGATCCCCATTCAACACAATGGAAATACACACAGCCTTTACATACAACAACGAAATCACAACACAGGTGTATACAGCAAGAGGAAGTCACAGATAAAAAGAAAACATGCTTAAAAATTACTAATCTCAAGGATAAAATTTGCCACAGTCTCACGAAAGAATGCATCAGAATTTTTCAGAAGATATGGCATTTTATAACTCCCTTGCCATTGGGAACTTTGTAAAAATTGAATTCCTGTATTTCATCCATATAGTGAGAACCTCGGTGGTGCAATGGGTTAAACCCTTGTGCCAGCTGAACTACTGATCTGAAGGTTGCCGGTTTGAATCTGGGAGTCAGGGTGAGCTCCCGTCTGTCAGCTCTAGCTTGTGGGGACGTTTGAGAAACTTCCCAGCTAACACATCCTCTGGTCCTCTGGGCAATGTCTCTGTAGATGGCCAATTATTTCACACCAGAAGTGACTTGCAGTATGTTGTCAAGTCACTTCTGACACGATTAAAAAAAATAAATCCATATATTATATACTTGGGGCAAACAAACAAAGAATGATGAAGTGTTTCAACAGAGACCAAGTCACAAGGACAACCCCTTTTGGAACCTTCTTCTTTTTTATATCTCCTATCCAAAAGAGCTGATGGCAATGAATTACATCTTGCAGTCACTAAAGTTCTAAATCAATGGAAACAACTTTAATGTAAAAATACTACAAGCAGGTATAGAGCTTGGAACGTTATTTTTAAGAAGATTGAATATAATGTGGTGAAGTCATTGATAAGCAATAAGCTGGGACCAAAAGTATCATCCTAACACTGTTAAGTTGCAGAAGGTTTCAACAGATCATTATATTCATTCTTTCCAAAAGTAACTTTCATAAATATCAGTCTCAAACCAACTTCTTATGCTACAAACATCAATATTACCATCTAACATTTCTGGAACTATCAGTGTAAGAACATACAGACAACATACAACACTGTCAGAGAACAATTGATTGCTGACTGAAAGGGAGCAAGGTGAGCTCTCATCTGTCAGCTCCAGCTTCTCATGCAGTGACATGAGAAAAACCTCCCACAGGATGGTAAAACATCTGGGTGCCCTCTGGGCAATGTCCTTGCAGATGGCCAATTCTCTCACACCAGAAGTTACTTGCAGTTTCTCAAGTTGCTCCTGACACAAAAAAAGTTCAAATGTAGATGTTGTGATCCTGCCTCTTGCAAAAGAAAGTGCTAATCAGATAACAATGTAGCAACTCAAACAGTTCTGATTTGTTCATAACAATAAAAAATGCATTAAACGACACTGAACAGTAAGTGAAACATCACAATGGAAATCACAGTGGGTATGTTTTCCTTCTGTACAATTAAATGGAATTCGAAATGGATATTTTTCTAGTAGGAACGGATATAATAGTCACATTATTCAGTGTAATTCTTTTCTTAGTTGAAATATTGGTTTCCTGATACTTGAGAGGCAAGGAATCAAAATTTTGGACACTTTTCAGCTGGTATTCTTTTTCAAAAAGTTTAGGACATATTCTTCACACAAAAAATCTGCATTATTGTTTTGCTTAGGAAACAGCATTTTCTGCACTGAAAATAATTCTCTGCAGGACAGATAATAAAATAAATTACCCATTGCTTTGAGAAGAAAATTAGTGACAAATCTCTTTGTAGCAAATACAGGGCAAAACTGCTTAGATGTATTCATTTCCTCTCTCACCAGGGAGAAAGCTATATAAATATAACAAAGCTCAAAGAAACATGGAAGTCTGAAGAATGAGGGAGGGGGTGGCTGGATAGAGGAAGCATTCACATTTACTAATCAAACATTTGCAGTGCGTCAACTCTGCAAGCCCAGGCTCTACCGTAGCACTAGTCCCAAGATAAATCAAAGTAAACATGATATATTCAGGCATCAGAGAGCACTAGCACCATTTCTACAGTAATAGTGATACTGGGACACATATATTGCTTTGCTATGCCACCTACCCAGGAATGAATACCACTGGTCTCAATGAGTCTTACTTCTGGGTAAACATGCAGAAGTTTCAACATCATTTCTATAGCCAAAACGATAATATTGGAATGCATATATTGCACTGCTACACCTACTCACTCAGGAACAAGTATCGCTGGACTAAGACTTACTTCTGGAAAGACATGCAAAAGATTGGGGTCTGCCAGCACCTATTCACAGGTCACATAATTTCTTAGACTAGTCCAAAATCTTTTATGGGTTTTATCATTGTGTCCAATATACAGTGTGTCTGAAACTGTTATTCAATTAGAGTGACAATGCCTCATTGACTGACTAATTTAAGGAATCAGTCAGCTAATTAATGGAGCTTCCTCTTCATAACAACATACATTTCACGTAGGCAAAATTATGCACTTAATTTTCCTTAATTTTCAAAGGGTCAACAACTGTCACCATGAATTTCTCCTTCAAAGAAAATACCTTCCCAACTATTGAATATGTTTGTTTCAAGATTTTTATTTCTTACCTGTGCCACTTCCCACACCAAGAACATTGATAGTTGACTTTCCATTTCCAAGGCTGAAATGATAATAATTTATTATTTAGGATCGAAAACAGGCTTGGCTAGTCATTTATTTGCCCAATTATACTCTACTGTCAATCATGCATTGCTAAAATGACCTAGAACTTGGAAAATAGCTCAAGGTGTTCCATCAAAACAAAGATGTTACAGAGTTCTCAAAACTGCAGCATGAATATTTCCCATAGCAAGTGGTAAAACATATGTCAAAATAGAGCAAGATAAATGAGGACTCCCCCCCCCCAACACATACACACACTGGTTTGTGTATATTTCTAGAATATGTGGTTTACGTTCTTTTCTCTTCAATTGCTTTAGTCTACTATGTGCTCACACCAAATGAAGACATCGAATTTTAATAATAATATTAAATATCACAGACATGAGAGTAAATACATTAAATGAAAACAAGCCTTTCTTGAGTTGTAGCTTCTATAGAACTGTAACTTATTTAAATAAGATTAGTTGTCTTAAAAGAAGAGAGAGGGGAAGATGCCAATATGAAAATATGTTTTTCACAAGGTGTGGGGATCTAGACATTTTACACAGTTTTCAATGGGTGAATAGATTTTTTTCCCCAGTGGAAAACTATTTATGCAATTTTTCTCTCAAATGGCTTTTTTTGTTATTTTTATCAAAATAGGCTAGATATAGATTTGTATTCATTTTGTGAACACAACTGCAAACTTTGTACATGTATGGATTTTGATAGCAAATTGAGTTCTGGTTCATGCTTATATTGAAGATATGCAAACTAAGTTTACAATTTTAGGTGAACCATTATGGTCCTTAGCCATAATGGACCATTCTAAGCTTCATTGATAATAATGAGTCCAAATTAAATAGGTGCTTAATTTTCAGGTGAAATAGTTCTTGGATGGGTGCATATGTTTCATTTCTTTTTTCATAAATTTTGGGTTTGAAAATGAAATTAAGAAAGCACCCAGATTTTCCATTTCCAATGATGAAATAATAATAATTTATTATTTGGATTCAAAGAACAGACTTGGCCATTCATTTTGGCTTAATTGTATACTATGTATAATCCTATGTTCCTTAGGGTTTTAGGCAAGAATCTTTCCAGGGTTTACCTAGAAATGCCGTGACATAATGCCTTGCATGCAAAGCATGTTCTCAACCACTGAACTAGAGACTTCCATTAAAAGGCTTCTCAAAGAATAAATTCCATTGAATTCTTAAATAATACGGATGAGGACCAGCATATCAAAATGTACTGCGAGGGAGCAGGCCCATAGCCAGGATTTTGTTTCGGGGGGAGCTGAGTTTGATTCGGGGGGGGGGGCTGAGTTTGAGTGAAAGAGGGTCTACCTTAGCAAACCTTTTGTATCGTTACCCCAATACCCCCATGCATATGGGATATATTGAGCATGGTGATCAGATCATGATATGAATAACGTAACAGTTTAAATAATGTACCAGTAAGGCCTTCTCGCGGACCACCATGAGAAGCCCCCCCACCCCTGGCTACATGCCTGCGAGGGAGGGTACACTTCTGATGTTCATTGTGATCAGATACCAGATATATTTGCTTGTGAGGCTGGGAAGCAGCATGCACCTTGTGACTGGGGTGGGTGATAGGCTATTTAAGAATTCATGGGGACCTCATGTGCCTCTTTTTATGTTTTGCTTTGTTTTATATGGACTGTGCTCTTTCTATGGGTTCCTGAGTGTCAAGTTTTGCTTTTGAAAAGTATAGTACTTTTCTGCAGTGCATGCTGATTTATTAACTTATGGATTAGGGCAGGGATGTAGGAATTTGTTTATTGAAGAGTGGGGTGAGTTTCTGGCACATGAGTAAATAAATGGGCAGCCCTAATATGTGTTTGGTTTTCTAAAGTATTGTAGGCTTCCTGTAGAAAAACATAGGGATTTGAGCAATAGGACATCTACATTCTGGGACTTAGGGAGTTTTTAAGAATTAATTGGCCATTTGAACTTTGCTTGTAGGGTTTTATCTCCTGACAGGACTTTTTAATGGCATCTATGTGACGCTATTGCTGGCGTGCCTCAACCTCACCACAGAATTTGACTTACTAGGGGTATTAGGGAGGATTTGCAGGTTTGGCAGACATTTCTTGCCTCCTTTAATGAGGTTTCTTTTTGGAAAGATGCCTTGCGCCTTCATGATGCTTTAAAGATCTTCTCCAATGCTGCAGTCCAAAGTTTTGGATTTTTGGATTTTCGTATGCATGTGCCCATGTTTGGCCAGAGGAATGGGATAGGGAAAGTTAGTTAGAGGATTTTGCTTTTTAAGAATGTATTCTAATTGTAGTGGCTATCTGGATTATACAGATGAGTTACCTAACTCCTCTGTCCATTTCTGATATGGTAACAAAACCCTCTAGGAATTTTACATAAGACATTGAAAAGGTGGTCTTGGGAGAGCGGCAAGCCTATAGATAGGAAAAAGCCTTTATCCTCTTAAGGATATTGGAAACATCCATCAGGCATTTGTATCTTGGAGTATGAGGCCATCCTTTTTCAGGCTGCACTGACTGCATTTTTGAAAGCTTTCATATGGGTGAATTTGATTGCATCAGGAAAAGAGGATATCTTTCACTCTTGGTGATTTAACTTTGCCTGACCATCAAGCTATTTTATTTATTGGGAATTTCAAGACAACCCTGAAAGGGCGGGGGGGGGGGGGGGTGAGGGAGGATTCATTCTAGGGGTCCTTTCACACAGCCATATAACCCAGAATACCAAGGCAGATAATCCACAATATCTGCTTTGAACTGAGTTATCTGAGTCCACACTGCCATATAATCCAGTTCAATGTGAATTTTATGCAGTTGTGTGGAAGGGGCCTAGGTCAGGCATTGCAGAGCCATTGCTTTCAATAAATAACATGTGTCCTCTTCAGTTCTGATGTTTTTTTTTCTTTACTAACATTGCTACTTTTCTATTTCTGTGTGCTATTTGATTAGACTGTGGATCCTAAACTGCAGCAATGACATGCTTTACTTGGTGGTGCACCAGGCCCAACTAAGGTTGAGAGGATTAACCACTTGCATCATTTGTTTGATCTTCTTGTTTTTTAGTTATTCACCTTAGTGGAAATGACTTGGAAGTGGCTCGGGGAAGATCTTTATTTTACAGGTTGTACAAAATTTTAATTTCAGCTCAAATAGCCTAGAATTACATTGATTTGGTGTCACTGATGTCTCAATACATTATAGAGGAGAGTTAATTGAGAGATTTGTAATGCCTTACACAAGGGCTGGCACACCCTAACATTAGCTTCTTTCAGACAGAGTTTTATGAGCAGGTGGCATTCTTTTATCAGAAGGCAATTTGATTTTCCTGGAAGACTTTCAGCAGAGGGAGAATACCTTGTAGTCTACCCTGATCTGGGAAGGGACTAAGCAGACACGTCTCCTTTGTATGTGGCAGGTAGCAGGAAGAGAATTTGAGAAACTGGTGCATATCTTGGCACTCTTTTGGTGAAGGGTCTGACTCTGAAATTGCCTCTACTTGTTTTGGGGTGCAGAGGATGATAAAAGAGTCTACCTTTGAGGGTTGTACTCTCATTGAGAAGTACTGGAAAGTGAATGGGAATACTCTAGGTTTACTTTCCAGTATGTCACTGGCAGGGGAGCAATCAAATTACTAGATTGCCCTCAGGGCTCAGGTGTTTTCCCACAAGAGAAAGCTGAGGAAGCAGGCTAGGATCCACATCAGGTGCCTCCTCTCTCTTGCTCTTTTCAGATCCAATTAAATAAGATATAGCTAAATTAAAATGGTCCTTATTGAACCATAATTTTTGTGTCTAATCTCATTATTCCATGCTTGGCCATCAAGCCTATATATAATAGCTACTAATGAAATCTACTTTCGTCTTGGACAATACTGGAACTTTTAAAATGTGATGGGATAGAAATGTTATATAATTTGTTTTTCCCCTTAAAGTGACATGAGGTGAAAATAGATCCAGTGATAAAATAGTTTAGATCACATATTCCCAAAATTATTTGGCCTTATGCCCCCTTTTCCAGAAAACAAATTACTCAGTGTCCCCTGGAAATCTACCTTCTTTAAGCAAACAAATAGAAAGATACAGTGAGAAATTTTTGTTATTTTATTTATCTGTATTGTATAATATAGTAAAGAAGAATGTTGTTGTAAATATTAAGACACCTTGAAGCTTGAAATTATAATATTTATTAAAATAAACCATAATAACATTTGCATTAGACAAGAAAAATAAGGCAATGAATATTAAAATAAAAATTATGAATAACATTAAATATAATCTTAAATTAGAAGAATGAATCACAAAAGACACAGAGGAGGAAGCTATTCGCTTCAAAGATGTTTTCTGCCTCCCTATTCCAATGTTAGACTGCTACTGAAGGCTACATCATAGCACAGGCGAAGCGGAAGGAGGACTTGGGAAACAGGGAAGAAGCTCAGCCTGGGAGGGAGGGAGGAACAGCAGCAGCTCTTGCTGAGCTCAATCTCACAAATGATTTTTTTTCAGTTACTTCACCTGAAATATAACCTATACCATCTGGTAGTCATTGATGATCTCTCTTTCAAATATTAACTAGTTCTGACCCTGCTTCATTTCCAAGATCAGATTGGACTTGCCTCATTACACTATTTTTCATCCCTCTTGCAGAATTTTTGGGGTTTTGTGAGGGCCAAGACTTCGATGGCTAAGAATGGTAGAGACCCCTCCCTGAACTAAAAACCCCAGAATTCTGCAGGAGGAAGCCACAGGATTGAAATCAGATGCATCTTTTAAAAAGTGTAGTATGATGAGGCAGCTCCTAGTGACTTTAGAGCTGTGGTTCCCAACCTTTGGTCCTCTAGGGGTTTTGAATTTCAGCTCCCACAGTTACTAACAGATGGTAAACTGGCTGGGATTTCTGGGAGCTGAAGTACAAAACACCTAGGGGACCAAAGGTTGGGAACCACTGCTTTAGAGTATTTAGTCCCCAGTAAATGAGAGGAGGTTTTCATGAAATTTGGTTGTAGTTACCTTTTGCATTTATAATGGTAACTCTAAGCTCTAAGTAGATTTATGGGCTATAGTCTAGGGCCCCACCTAGTCCTCCTAAGGTGCATCTACACTGCAAAATTCATGCAGCTTGACACTACTTTCAATTGTCATGGCTCAGTACTATGTAATCCTGGGTTTTGTATTTTCATGAGGCACCAGCAATCTTTGGCAGAGAAGGTGAAATACCTTGTAATTGCAGCCCCCTGATTTCATAACATTGAGTCATAGTAGTGAAAGTAGTGTCAGACTGCATGAATTGCAATATAGTTCATCCAAGGATTTTGGAATCACCTAGAATGCACTTCTAAAAATCTATTATTGGAGATATTTGTGTATTAGAAAAATCATCCTCAGGCATGTCTTTGCAAAAACACATCAGGTCATGGAAGAGTGAAGGAGATGCCTGACTTTGGTCAGGAAAGACCTACGGTCAAAAAGATGTCATGTCTGGTGATGGGGAACAGAGATAAGAGTCATGCATAAAAGCCAGCAACAGGCCGGTGTTTATCTTTGATCCTCATCCTCATGCTGTGACTACTAATGAATGTGTGAGTAGTATTGTAAATAAAGTTTTTGTACTGCTGGACTGGGCTGAATGGCTGGAGTACAGTGTGCCTTAATTGATGGCCAGTAGGGATTTTATTTATTTATTTATTGTGTCATTATCAACCAGACAATTGTATTACATTTTTAACATTTTTTTAACAAACAGACAAAACAGAGTTTGCAAGCTTGGTGGTTGATTAAACTACCAAGTGGGGTACATGAGAGAAGCCTCCTCGCAGGATTGCAAGACATCCGGGTGTCCCCTGGGCAACGTCTTCATAGACGGCTGATTCTCTCACTCCAGAAGCTCATGGGGACTCATATTTACACCCAACATTTATGCTGTTTGATAGCAGTTATAATACCATGATTCAGTGCTATGGTATCACGGGAGTTGAGGTATGGGGGCACCAGCCCTCTTTGGCAGAAAGACTAAAGAGCTCATAGAACTACAGCTCCCAAGATTCCATAGCTTTGAGTCAGGGCAGTTAAAGTGGAGTCAAACTGCATTCATTCTACAGTGCATTAGATTTGATGGAGTATTAGACTCAAATAAATATGGGTAAGTTAGATTTCAGATATACCACCTATTTATTGTATGGTATTGTAAACAAGTCATTACACACACATATTCCTGGATTTCCTGACAGTGCCTGACAAACTCACCTGCCAACATTTGCTTGTTAAGACCTGTTGGTAAGCTTGCTCACGGATCAGTTATAAATTACACGCTGTGTTTTAGTTTTGAAAATAATCACTATAATTTAAATTGTATGTTACACAACAGATGATATATTTTTAAAAAAATATATATATCTTTATGTTTCCGTTGGTTCTTTCTTTTTATTCACTGCCTCCTAATTGCACACCAGGCTACTATCGCCTCCTGTATCATTCCAGGGCCCCCCAGGAGGCAACATTGACCACTTTGGGAGGCAGTGGTTTAGATGTTGAAATTTAGAAAAGGGAAGGAAACTTGAAGACAGAAAGCAACTGCTTGTTTGGCTATTCCTCAAAAAGCAACTTTTCAAACATCCTAAAATTCAGTCTTACCTGGCTATAATACTTGGCAGCTCCTCCTTATTGAATTGTTCCATGCACTGATGCTCAGTGGAATGTTCTAAGAATGACTTAAAGGCTTTTGCATATTCCTCTACAGTGAGGCTTCTCATAGGTTGGAATGCAGAGAGCTCTTTGGAAAATAAAGGCAAAGGAGCATTTGATACAAACCAGCATGTGTCAATTCTCCCACCCCCTTGGGTGCCACACTTTGACAAGGCATCATACTAAAATTTGAGATGAGTTCAAGATCCTGGCTTGTTCTAAATCATAAGTTCTTAATTCAGAAAAAACTGGAGTCTATTTTTTTTTCGTGTCAGGAATCTATGATTGGTTGGAAATTTCCTCACTTATGAAAACTCATTATGAAAGAAGAATAAATTAGTTTGTGTATATAAATGTACAGAAAAGACCTTTTAAACTGAAATTCATAATGGATATGATTGCAGAGGAGATAGATGTCAGTTTTCTTCATTTGCCTTCACCATCATTTCACATTCAAGTTGTGAACATGCATATTTACATGCTGTGCCCCCTTTTGTTTTGTTTTTATCTAACAGAGTAAATACTCATAAATGTGTGTCACAAGTGAATTTGGAATGTGGGATGTTTGCTTTTTAAAGAAAACATGAAGAAAATATGCTAATTAAATTTCTATCAGAACTGGAAAAAAATGTTTTAGAAGAATGAAAGTAATTGTATGCTGAAGACATTGATAACCAAGCAGTGGAAGGTATTGTGATGTTGCCCTGAGACTTAGGACTTCATCACATGCATCCTTACCAGCGTTGTGATTCGCCAGCCTCCATGGCAAATCAGAGTGGCATCAGGTTGGTATTGAGGCAATTCCTGGTGCCCCGGACAGCAGCTGACATTTTCCCATCCCACGTGGGAAAGCATCATTGTATGGCTAATGCCAGGAGCAGCCTCATTGTTCCTTACAGAACATGGGGATGCTTTCATGTTGGCAGCAGCAGCCTGCTACCACATTGTCACCCCAGTGGAAATTGTCCTACATTGTATGATGGATGGGGTGTTGCTCCATGTGTCAACTGGGCAGAAGTGTCTTAGGACGCTTATTTTGCTCTGGGTGATAAGGCTGTTAGACCATCTTCCTACTGTTAGTTAGTTGTGGAGGTCTTCATTATATCATTAGACTAATTCTCGCTAAAAGTAGCATAAAGAGATCTCTCTTTTTTATTTACCAATTCTAAGGTTCTATCTACACTGTCATATAAAATCCAGAATATCTGCGTTGAACTGGATTATATTAGTCTACGCTGCCATATATTCCAGTTCAAAGCAGATAATCTGGATTTTATATGGCAATGTAGATGGGGCCTAAAATACATCCTAATTCAGAGCATTAAGCATGTTCTGATGGATAGACATGTGACACGTTTACTTCTTGCCCAGCAGAGTGGGATTCACAAAGGAAAGCTCTTATCAGCTCATTGTTTCCATTGCAGTACATAGAACAACCTTTATGGAAGAGAATGAATAAACTGCTACATCAGATTCTAAGCCACTGGCAAACTGCTACCTCTCTCCACACCTTGCAATGAGTAGAGAAGGCACAGGCTGCTTCTAGTAGAAGACTTGCTTGTCTTTTTATATTTATAACAGGCAGTAAATGTATAAATAGCTGGCGTTATGAAAACCATATAGCTTTATTTAGCAACTTACACATATGGAGCACCTTTCTTGGAAGTGCAATTCCATTCTTAAGCTAACCATGCTGTGAGAGGATAGAATTGCTCTTAATCTTCCCACTCTGGTATAAGTTATGTCCACATCAAAGAGTTGTACTCTTGTATTTACATAGTTCCATCAGTAGTGATTCCATTAGTGGATGTGTTATGCTGATTCATTGGAAAATTAATTAGTGGAACTGCAACTCCCAGAATTTGCATCTAGGAGGTGGTGATATAGTGCTTAAGGAATAGAGAAATGGCCAACTTGGCAGTATTGGCCACAGGAAAGTTAAACTAGCCAAATATCTGGTGTTAATCAATACACATTTACTTTAGAGGTATGAATGACTGCCAGTCCTCCTCTCAGCTAGCTCTCCCAAGTATTTAGATGTCAAATTCTAGTTAGCACTCTGCATGATTATGATACGACAAAAACTGTACAAGTCCTAGTGACCCAGCACACTTTAACAGACATTTGTATTTTGCACTTGAAAATGAGCCCACACAAAAGGATGGTGGCAAAGCAGCTCAGTAGTTTAATAGTAAGAAAAGCTCCAAGTGAACAGGTTGCACTTGTGAAGTCTATAATTGGGTCTTAATCTTTCCAGGTTCAGATTGATCTACCACTTCTGGCAAGAGGAGAAAGCCTTAAAGACTTGAAGCTTAGCACTCTTTGTGGTTTCTGATTATTCCTGCCAGGATTAATGCCACTACTGATAGCTTGACATGGAGATGTAAGTGCTGGTTGAAGATGTGATTGTTACTTTGGTGGATACAGAGAGATATGAATGCTACAGGTAATAATTCTGAGGTCTTGCATCAAAAATCATTGCCTAATGGCATCAGGTTATGGACAAAGGATGCTCATGATAATATGCCCTGGTTCAGTTTCTATTACTCCTGCACCTGGTGCTACACATGTGCTGGACATGACTGGCTATTCCAAGTCACCATCATAGCACAGGCCACCCTGAGCAGGGGTTTGAGCTGTGATTCACACATGGAGTTCTGTGACAACCTATTCACAAACTGAAAGCATTCACAGGCAGCAGTGATAGTTCCAGCTGGAGCGCTGCTCTGCTGTTTTCATGGAGAAAGGAGCATTCACTTTCTCCTAGATATTCACAATGGCACATCTAGAGGAGGAGAATGACTCCTCAACTGCAACATACTCCCAGAGCTGAGATTCTCTGCAACATTGTTTCCAGAAGACTAGAGAGGTCTCAAGAGCTGTGCAAGTGCTAGACATGCTGGTCTGTGAAATCTTGGGACCTTATCACACAAGACAAGTGGATCAGAACTACAGCAGGATAACAGTGGTAACTATCAGATGGCATCCTTTGTTTTCTGTTGTTCTCCTGGAAGGGGAAACTGTTCAAAGCTATTTCTTTTACAAAAGGAGGTGATCAATAGATTATTTCTGTTTGTAAAAGAAACATTTTCCAGCCCTTCCACCAAGAGAGTGAGAGGAAATGAACTTGGCCAAAGATGCTGTTGCCCTGCTGTAATTGTGATTTGCCCACTTTGTGTGATGAGTTCATTAAAGTATTAGTACCAACTGCCCTAGACTCTGTCCTCTACAATATGTCTGGGGAAATATATGAACCTGTGTTGCTGCCATGGAATGAGGAATGGGCAAGGATGGAGAGAACAGATAAGAAGGTAGGCTTGCTGTCAGACCAGCCAACAATAGCAAGCAACCACATTACAGCATAAGGAACCGAGGGCATAACTAAATTAAACAGAAAAGGATGAACAACCGAATCCTATCTTGCTCTTGACTTGGCAACTGGAACTGTAAAGCATCTAAGCTGGTTACAGTTGCATAGACCCCAGTGTAGTAATGGTCATTTTAATAGCAGTTCTTGACCTGTTATGTAACAACATCAAAAGTACCTGTATTTTTTGAAGGAGTCAGCAGTATCTCTTGGTCAAAAGTTGCATCTTTCACTTTCCTGCAGCAAAAATATATTTTTTCAACAAGGTGAACAATATTATGACTGTTCCTCAGCTACTAGGGCAACAACCTCAAAATTACTCTCTGGTAAAATAGGTATTGCTGCTGTCCTACCTGCTCTCATGCTCATCATCTTCATTGATGGCTCTAACCAAAGGCAGCCTGGAACCATTTATGGGGCAAATTCCTTTGGGAAATACACCAACCCTGCGGCAGCCATCTGCAATTTTGCTCTGCTTTGGTTTGAAGACCCTGCCACAAAATAATCAAAGATTGCTTTAGCCAAGTTATACCGGTATATTCTCTTCACTATTTAAAGAATGATGTTTAACTATGCTCTTGGATGGAATTCCTCCCTCACAATATGAATAGTAGTGAATGAAAGAGATAACAGATACCTAAAGAGGAAAAAATGTATATATTGTTGTTGTTATATTATTACTAGTGCTATCATCATTTATTTCTTTAATGCCATCAATGGGCTAATGGAATCAAACACTATCAAATCCAAAATCAACACTATGCCTAGTAAATGACATTGCCATATTATTTGTGTGTGAAGTTGCTTATTAAGTTATTTCACACTTTGAAAACTTCCACTGTCCATTATCATTAATATTATTGTATGCATCTTTTTAAAAAGTATTACTTTGTGTGGACAAAGCGTATACTTGGGCAAGGGCAAGGAAATATGTCTTCCTCCTTGTGCAGTTGGATTGCATCTCTCAGCACTGCTAGCTAGCAGTGTCAAGTGAAGAAGGATATATCTCCATCATTATATATTTACGCCCCACTTTCTCTCTGTCAAAGAGAGTCAAAGCAGCTAACACTAAAAACTATAACAATGTATGAATTAAAACTTAACAAATATAAACATTAAAATAGTAATTATGCACAAGCAAGAGCTGGAGGGCTACATGTTTCCCAGGTTTGTCCTGAAGCAGCCTGATTGTTCAGAGATGATTGCAGTACTACCTGAGCCAAATTGAAATTGAAATTTTCAATGGAATAGTGAGATCAGCCTCCAGCGCTTAGATTAATAGTAATTGCAAGGTACTGATTGTACTTATATAATGATTATCTTCCTAATCCCAGTGAAAGAGGGTTTGATGTTCTCACCTCAGATTGCATGAAAACATTCAGAAGACATAGAATTCAGACCTTACCCATTGAAGGGAAAAGATGACAAGTTTGACTTGCAAGCTCCTTATGTTTGTGGGCCAGGTATTCAACAGATTCTTTCTACTGAATTAATTTGACCCAGAAATCATAGAGGCATTAAATGAGGAATCAATATGCATGTGTGTACACAGGCACACACAGATCAGTCAAGCATACTACCTAACAAGAAATTTCAGAAGCAATTGTAATCTATTTCAGGGGGAAAACAGGCTGCAAGGGAAGAAAAGGTTATGTAATGAAAATGCAGAAGGTGACATTAATTTTTCTTGTTTCGGGTGAATATTTGAGATTATGGGCCCCTGGTACCCACTGAGATTTGGTTCCAAGACCCCCTTTGGTTACCAAATATCTATGATGCACAAGTCCCATTATACTCAATGGTGTGATGAAACTGGGTCTTGTATCAAAAGGCATAATCAAGGATTGAAATTTTTATTTTGGGAAAATATTTTCAAACCATGGATGAATACAGAATCCCTGGATATGGACAGTCTGCTGTACTGGCTATCCCTATAGCAGTAATACTGCTGTTACTCTCAGTCAGACCATGAATGCTATCTGCCCTGACACATCAAGCCCTTCAAGTTATACAAGCAAGAAGAGCTCTTCGTAACTATCCAAAACCCAACTATCCAAAACTATCCAAAACCCAACTATCCAAAAACCAACTAGCTGCAGAGCTGATCCTTGGACCTCCTCCTTGCAAATGAGGGGCTCCTGCCAATACATACTATGGCCCTGGAGGCATTAGCCTCCATGATCAGTCTGAATTTTGAAGACCTTTTTTTAAAAAAAATGTTAAATCAATTTAAGGGACAAAGTTCAGGTATATAATCATTCGTTTAAAGATGGAATTAAAATCTAGAGCAGATCCATCACACCACTAACCTTAGAGCCACTAGCTTTCACCCCTTCTGTACCAAGGGCATTCTAGCTGTTTTGGAATTCCTAATCCCAGCATCTTGTGAAACATGACCAGCACATAATCGTATCATGAGCACTACAGTAAAGAATGGTTTCTTGAACAGCGTGGAGAGCTATGGGAGCCGAAAAAGGAAATAGTGCTAAGCTGATGGTTACAGACCACCAGTTTAATTTTTTCTAGTTCTTGATTAGCATCAACAGCTATAAAACCCCAGTATGCCCATGGTGGCCTGAATCCTCACATAATGGTTGTTGCTGTTGTCAGGTGGCTGGCCAGGGGGTGGGGTGGGGTGGGGTGAAGTGGACTGTGGACCCCTGAATTTTAGGTTCTGCCCTCACTGCAGCCCTGTAAGGAATTCTAGTGCACCAGAATATGTGAGGCCGAACTAAGTTTTCTATTATGCTTGATATTTTCCTATACAAAATCCTCCAACATTTATTTAAATTTTAGTCTGCAGCTTCTAGTTAGGAAATGAGCAAGCAAGGAATACTTGCAAATTGTCTCATTCTCAATGATAAATTGAGTTTTGGTAGATTAGGAAATCCTCGATGAAAATATGGTTAATGTGAAACTGTTTTTCCATTTCAGGTATTTTTGCCAAAGGAGCCAGAAACCTATTACACAAAACCTAGTGTTTGGGAGTACAAAACAATATTTTGCACACAAAAAATAGTTCTACAAAAGTTTGATATTGTACAGCCTAGAATTACAGATTCAGAACTGATCTGGGTTCAGTAAGACTGCATAAATGCCATAAATCCTACCTTAAGAGCTAACACCCCAATTGAGCAAAAGAGGTCTATCATCTTCCACTCAGTGTGTGGAATCATGTTTCTACCCTCTCACTCTAGAAATTTAGGCTGCAAGAATCAGAAGCAGGACCTCTGTTCCAAGTCTTGCTCTCTGATGGGAGGAGAGCAGAAGAGTCACCTTTCTTGCTCTATGTTCAGATGTGAAATCAACCTACTTCACCTAATCTGACTGCTGATAGTTAAAATGACATGCAAGGATTGGGCCAAGAAACATTACTTAGTCTGCATCCATACCGGTTGAAATAATCCAGGAAAAGTCTAGAGAAGTCTAGTCTTGAGTTACTCTGGATATAGAGAAGTCTGGTCTGGGGTTACTCTGGATACACCAGGAGAGCTCCAAAAAGCTATTTTGTAGTCTGTTCGCATGGATGAGCAATGGAGAATTAATATCCATGTACTTTCCTCCTGCAGGATGTCACTGTTCACCAACCAGAAACTATGATGCTGTGACTTCTTATGAGGGCATCCCATTTAAACTCACCAGAAGCAATATCAACAGCAAGGTTCTAATGAGGAGCTTCTTCTATCATGTGAAGTAACAATTGTCTTTTTTATGTAGGTTTTTTTAACGTGTAGACACTGAATTGTCCCAGATCCAATACAATACAGCTGCCAGTAAAAAAATAATGAGGGATAATTCCAGAGTCCAGGAAAACTCCAGAATAATTTGTGACTCTTGTGATGGATTAAATGCTGGAAGAAGAGCCTCTACTGTGGGACTCATCATATGTTGTCTGGACTGCTCACAGTGTAGACAAAGGGTTAGTTACACATGTGTGATATATGTCATTAAATAGAGTTCACCACCACCATCATTTGCTTATTACTGCAACATTACAAAATAAAAATATCTTGATTTTTCCACAAAAAAATTATTAGGCTACAGTAATATTAAGCCAGCTATATTAGTACCCAAGATACTAATGTTCTGATTCTGATATAATTTATTCTTCCATTTTTCTTACCTTTTCACCTTTGCTTTGGGCTCCATGTTTCCGGTGGTCCTTCTCCAATGTCTCTGGCCCCTTTATGTCCTTGTTCTTCTTTATATATACCTGCTAGACTCCAGGCAATGAAGTACAGAATATGAGCACAGCCTTCGGTATCTAGTGGTAATTTTCTATGAATCCTTCATACATTTTAAATTGATATGTCTTTTGGCTCAGCAGTGCTAAAGGTTACAGACAGATTTGACTCTAAGTTGATATTTCCATCTGTTATAGTCACTGTATCTCAGTCTCCTGGCACACTGTGAGGAACTTTATATGACCTTTGGTATCTCCAAGTGTCCTTCCACACACCTGTTATCACACTTCAAGATATATGATCTTGAAGACGATAGATAAAATATGCAGTCATAATTCTATATCCTTGCATGCAGTACCTAGGAATCTTGGCATCAAAAAATATGGGGAAATTTGTAGCATTTAAAGAGGACAAGGGGCATGCAGCTTCTCTGTTGTGTATTGCAGCTGTACACATGAATATACACTGAGCAATATTACTGTATGTTGAATATTAATAATGAGCTTATTTAGGGCCAATGTCTTGATGTTTTGCTGGCTAATGTGTAGCCATAAATGATATCCCCTGCACATCCAAGTCAAGGTGCAGAGCACCTTAAGACAGCCAAGGTATTTTGAATCATATAAAGGAGACAATCCCAAGGACCTCCTTCTATCCCTAAAAGTAAAAAATGCATAGAAAATAAATTAAATAGCCAATAAAATGTTGCTCTTTCATAACACCCAAAATGTGTTGCTTGAGCCAACCACCTGAACCCTGTGCCAATCCTGAGCATACAATAATTTTCTGCTTATTATGGCCAATGGTTAGGGTTTCTGCTTATTATGGACAGTAGTTATGGTATAGTTTGAAGGGCTGCTCTGGAGACTAAAATGAGGAGAAAATTGATTCAGAGTACAGGAAAAGATACCACCTCATAAGGAAGAACTTCCTGATGGTAAGAGCTGTTAGACAACAGTATGTGCTGCCTCAGGGAGAGGGTGGGGTGCTGGAGTTCCCTTTTTTGGAAGTTTATAAACAGAGGCTGGGTGACCATTTATTTCTACATGGCAGGGGTTTTCATTGGATTGCCTTTGTGATCTCTTCTGGCTCTACGATTCTTTGAGTTTAGGATACATCTTTTGGGTTTCATGTACACTAGAAATATTAAGAAATATTGGCCAAGGACTCTGTACCAACTTTCATCTCAAGGCAAGGGGTCATTCTTTTCCAGACAGTTGGACAATAGCAATTCACATAATCTATCCTGCCTAATAAGGTCTGTTGATATGTTCTCCAAGGAGTTAATTACACATGATACAAAAATATGTATGAGAACATATGCTTAAAAAAAGAAAAGGAAAACTACAGCAATATAGGAAGTTTTATAGCAGCTCCACTGCTTCAAAATTCTTTTCCAAAATGTAGGGTTTAAAATGTATGCTTGTTGTCATGACAGTGGATTTTCAGAAACAGACGGGGTTTTTTTAGCAGTGTAGATACATTTGTGTTATTGTTTTAGAGCACACCCAATAACTACTCACTTATCCATAATTCTTATTGATCTTATTTAGAATTATTCTGAGTAGAGTTCAATAGAAATGTACTGGTAGTCTGATTACTTTTATTTATTTTTTTACCAGTGGTTCTATTCAATTTTGGCATGTTTTGATTATATTTTTAAAAATGGCAAAAAACTACATCTTTTAAAGAAACAAGAGTAGTTTTGAGATCTACAAGTACAGGTACTTTTTAAACTCTGTGTTGTTGCCTGGATGTGATAAATACACTCACACACCACACAATGAGGAAACATACATTTCCCAGCATTGATGAGCTGAAGGTGTTACATAGTTATCTCCATATGCATTTCTACATTGTTTTGTGAAACAAATTCTCCCCGCTTAGGGCTGGCCTAAAATTGATATGTGAAGTCACCCTAAATTGATTCTTCGCTATTAGGATAGAAATGGCAAATGACCCCATCTAATATCAGATTCATTAGTAATATCAGATTAGTATCAGATTCATCACACACAATAAGAAAGCCAAAGCCTGGCTTAAAATATCAAGAGTGTCCTAGCCAACATAATTGCTCCATGGAAAAATACTGCATTTACTTGAATTTAATGTGTCATCGATTGTCATGCACACCTCAGGTCCCTTCCACACAGCCATATAACCCAGAATGTCAAGTTAGGAAATCCCACAATATCTGTTTTGAACTGGGTTATCTGAGTCCACACTGCCATATATCCCAGTTCAAAGCAGATATTATATTGTGGGATTTTAATCAGCTGTGTGGAAGAGGCCTAAGCCCTCATTCATGAGGCCTTCAAAACTGGAGGGAGTGGTGGTGGTGTGTGTTTGAAGGCCTTGTTAATGAAGCCAGCTGGGAAGGCATGACCTTCATCAGGCTGAGGATGGCAAGTTCACCAGCCTAGGCTTGACAAAAGAGTGCAGAGAGGTTTATGTGTGCAATTCTAATGTGACATCGAATCTAATGGGAACCTTAGTTTTGGCTTTGTAATGTTGCCAAAGAATTGAGCATTAGATTTGAGTAAATATGGTACTGCCTTCTGTCTGCTGCAAATTGCCAGCCATTCTGTTTCGTGGTTGATCCTGCGTTTCAATGTTAGCAAGGAAAACTCCCTATATACTTCCTCTCCAGCATGCAAAATTGTATAAATGTCTGCCATGTACCATCTTTACACCCTCACTTTTATAAATGGCCTCAAAACATTGCAATCTTTTCTTCCATGAAGATCCTCTCCAATTTGTTTGATTACTGTTTTCTGTCTCCTCCATCGTCCAATCAACTATGGAATATTATTTTTAAGTTGCAGCAACCAGAACTGTAGATGCTATTCCATGTGTGATTCACATGGTACTATAAAGGTACTGAGGAGCCCCCGGTGGCGCAGTGGGATATACCCCTGTTCCAGCAGGACTGAAGACTGACAGGTCACAGGTTTGAATCCGAGGAGAGCGCAGATGAGCTCTCTCTATCAACTCCACCCCTCATGCGGGGACATGAGAGAAGCCTCCCACAAGGATGGTAACACATCAAAAACATCCAGGCGTCCCCTGGGCAACGTCCTTGCAGATGGCCAATTCTCTCACACCAGAAGCGACTTGCAGTTTCTCAAGTCACTCCTGACATGAAAAAAAAAAATGAAGGTACTGTGGTACCAAAAAACTTTTTTGCATACTTTCCTAATGTTTACTAGCATGAAATTTTTACATCTGCTGAATCACATGTCAGAAGCTTTGGCAAATAACCCATACCTCTCAAAATTATTATTATTATTATTATTATTATTATTATTATTATTATAACTTTATTTGTACCCCGCTAGCATCTCCCAAGGGATTCGATGCGGCTTACAACAGGCTGGAGTCCAACACAATACAACAATACAGTACATAGCAAATAAAACAGTTAAAGCAGAAAACAATAGCAATAGCAATACAACAGGACATTATTAAAAACTGAGCCGGCCGGAGTAGGGTACAGGATTAAAAAGTGCTGAAGTGTCGGAGGGATATGGGATTAAAATATAAGTGCAGTGTGCGGTGAGGGTGATCTTGACTCTACTAAGGTGCTTCTGGGCTTTGGTAGTGGGGTTCCTAATCTGAGAAGGCACGTTGGAACAGCCAGGTTTTCAGGTTCTTTCTGAAAACCGCCAAAGTAGGGGCCTGTCTGAGATCTTTCGGGAGGGCATTCCAGAGGCGGGGGGCCACCACAGAGAAGGCCCTGTCCCGCGTCCCCACCAAACGCGCCTGCGATGCGGGCGGGATCACGAGCAGGGCCTCTCCTGATGACCGGAGTGAACGTGTGGGTTCGTAGACTGTGATGCTATGAGGGTTGACTAATAAATCTATTTTCAACACACTATTAAAAAAGGATTTCCTGTGAGTGGGAGACACAAAAGCTCAATCCACAATGTACAGAACAGATATGTGAAGCCACCTCTTTTTTGATCACTGAAAATGTTCACAATAATGGATGTATCTGTCATTTTCTTTCATTGAGGCTTCTCTATTTCCTTTATTATTTTATATTTTTAAGAACGAGGTCTGCTGTTCCCTCTGCTGGCCAAATGTGCAGCAACAATCGGTACAATTCTGAAGATGAAAGATGATACAGTAATATCAAGCCACAGTCCTTTCCACACCCTAAGCAAGACAGTAAGATTTTACCCTTAAGTTTGAATGGGAAGGTGCCTGGGATTTTACTGGAAGGGGTGCATAGTCAATAAACAGTAAGACAATCCATGGTAAAGGGATTGCTGCATGAGGAAAAGACTGAATTTCACTTGCTCATTTTCTTGCCCCTCTGTTGGTTATTTTTTTTGTCCTATGCTGTTTTCCCATTGTTTTCATTTTCTCTTGGCACTCACCCAATATAAGAGGAAGACAAGTCACTACACCAGTTCAGAATGTGGGAAGATACTTCACATGAACAGAATGATGCTAGAGAGACATCCACAGCTGAGCAGAAGTTTGGGATAAAGATGAGTCTTAGAATATCTCAATATATCTGAAAGCCAACATGTTGGGAAATACTGAAGTTATGTTAACTAGGCTTTGTTACTCTGAACAACTGAGCAAGAAAGAGAACAAAATTCATGTGAATTCCTGCTATGGAATGGAAAATAAAATCTTAAAATGAACATGTGTTCAGAATCGTTGTGTTCTTTAATTCTAAATCTCCCTTGCCATCACTTGTTCCTTTTGGAGGAACTCATGTTTCTATAGGAAGCAAAGCAGATTTTCTACATCTGAAGTCAGTCTGGCTCTGGATTGTATTCCCAAGATGAATAAAATAACACCATACTTTCATAAAAAATAGCACAACATTATCCTAAGTAAACTGGAATTTGTGAGAAGTCAAATGCAAGGTGGGGCAACATAGAAAAATAGTAAAGGAACTAAGTCGCTCCCTTAATCCAATGGTCAGTCCTGTTGAATAAATCTGATAACAATTTCCAGAATCCCCAACTGGCATAGTCAGTAGCTAAATAGATTGTAGTATATTACTTTTTTAAAAGTAACTTTTTAAAGACCTAGATCCACAACTATAGATGCAAATCTATCTCAGTTGTGTGTGTGTCATTTAAATTCAAATCATCACCCTTTAGCAATTAAAAACTGTAAGTACTAACACGGAAGCCAAAAAGAATGATACAATGAGGGCCTTCTGAGATCTCTTTTGAAAATGACATGTCCTTAGGAACCTTATGTCAGCAGAAGGCAGTAAAAAGTATCAGCAGCTTTTCTGAATGGAAGGTGGTAAGGAAGGAGTCAAACTGTCATTCCTCTGATATGAGGACAGCCGTCACTGAGAGGAGCCAACCTGGGGAGAAGGTTTCAACTGGGAAGACCTGACAGAGGGCATGTAAGGACAACTGGCAGCGTGGAAGTGGTGGAATGTTTCCTGTGCTCTCTGGAGTGCACCAGTGACCCTGTGTGATGAGGACAACCCTTGAAAGTATAAAGATGAGTTGCCAACATTCGGAAAGCAGATACATTTGATCACTGTCAGGTCAAGCTTTTCTTAAAGTAGGTTTTAGACAGTGCTCATGTGCAATCCTATCCACAATTAATCAGAAGCAAACCCTGTGTCTTCAAATATTCATGTTTACTTTCAGGAAGGTCTGTTGAGGTTTGCACTCTTGTTTAAATAAGATATATTGTAACAACAACAACAACAACAAAATAAATTTGCTACCTGCCTTTTCCTGTGTCTCGAGACAGGATACAACATTATTAAATAAGAGATAAAACACCATTAAAAGACACACAACAGGATATACAGAGTTAAAATACAAGTTAAAATCCAGTGATGAAATGCTGATAAAATTCACAATTTAGAATTGATCAGGTAGGCTGTTGAGGTAGGTGCATCTGTATAAATATGTACATAATACTGCCCAACAGACATTTTTGTGCCTCAAATGTTAAATCTTTTTTTGGTGTATATTTGACCTGTTGATTCAAAAGAATGGCACAAGTATTCTCCTATCGGCTCTAGTTTTTGAGATACCAAACATATGCTGTATACCAGTCTTCATCTGCTCACCCACAGAAAATCATGAGAACCATATACAGCTGGCGCTGTCTATCCAATGCAATTTTCTGAATCAGTGCCACCAAAACCCCCAGGAACAGACCTAAAAGCCAAGACACCAATATATTTTAATTGGGCTATGTGATAGAAGATGAAATTGTAAAAGAGCAATCCTGATCCTTCCTTTTTAAAAAAATCAGTTAAACTTACTTCTAGTGAGATATTTATAGGATTGCACCTTGCATCTTTTGAAACATGCCATTCCTGAAAGCCATTGCTTCTATTTAAATATATCAATGTTTTGAAATTAAATGGAATTATATAATTAAGACTATGAGAGCAGAAAAAATCTGAATATGGAATAGAGAATGTGAATATAAAAAGACCACTTAAAGGAAATCTGGCCTGTTTTGACTTCAGATTATGGAGGCTCTATACAAGTCAAAGAAAAACAGAGAGCACTGGTAACTTTTCAGATTTAAATTAATCCAAAAGATACAGCTGAGCCTTTACCTTTCAATCCATGTTATCTGAATAGATCTTAAAGAAAATTTAGAGGAGCACTTCATCAAGATCATTTTCCAGCTGCAAATCAGAATTTGTAAAGCTCAAACATGAAAACGAGGCTGTAAGTAACTTATGGCTGCAATGGCATATTGACTCATGCTGTACTGAGATCTTACAAAGCAGTATCCCTTTTTTTCTAATGCAGGATAAAAATAAATACCCATCAACATTTGCTTAAATTGAACTCTACTATAACCAGCAGGAGAAACAAGAGGACATTTGTGGGTACAGGTGAATACATTTGGTAAGTAGCTTACCTCCTTTATTTTAAGTTCTCGCATTCCATTTTCCATCAGGTGGATACCTAAGTGGTCCACTTGGTCTGCTCAGGTAAAAGAAGGTGGCAGACAATGAGGCAGAATCTAGCAGATTTACTTGAGTGATGTCCAGTTCCAGGTGCTATGAGTTTTAGAGAGGTATAAGGAAGGTCTGAAATGCCACTTTCTGTGCAAATGGAGAGCACAACACAAGCAAATCTGTTTGGCCTCCTGTGGGAGGTGAACTGTCTCTTTAATGAGCTCAGTTATTGAATCACTTGTTGCATTCCCTCCCTGCCTACAAAGAGAGCAATGATGCATGAGTCATATTCATGACAGTTTTATCCTGTTTATAACAACAGCTGACTGTTTATTGGACTCAAGCACAAAGCTGCTTCTACCAAAGTTGCTGTTTTCATGTCATCAAGTCCATTGTGATGGATTTGCTACTTATATTTGCACACAAAGCACCTTATATGTGGTTCCTTTGAGGAAACCTGTGTTCTAACATAGGAACAGGATCAGGCGCATGAGGCATGGGCTGGATCTACACTGTCATATAATGCATCTTGTAATTGCATTATATGGTCAGTGAAGACCCATACAATGCAGTTGAACTGCACTGTATGGGTCTACACTTACCATCTAATGCAGTCCCAAAATCTATTATATAGCAGTGTAGCTCCAGCCAGGGATAAATGAAAAGCATCTTAGCTCCAGGAGAAGTTGAATTAATTGCCAGATAGTGTTACCAAATGGTCCAAAAGTGTAACTTGGCTTCATTTTATTAGAGACCATCCAAGCTGCAGAATTATAGTAGGTCTACAGCAATTGAACAACCATAGCTATATCCTATGGAATCCTGGGATTTCTAGTTAGCTGCAAATGTTTTACAAAACTACAAATCCTAGAAATCTATAGCATTGGGCCATGGCAGTTAATGTGATATTAAATAACAACTGAAAAAGTGAGAGGACAGAGCATTTATCAGGACTATCCATGTTGAATCCAGACAGTTAGAGTGCATCCAGTCTCCTACTACATTTTGTACTAACTGCAGCTTCTAGACATTTCTAACAGGCAGCGCCAGATAAAGTATAATTGGAAAAGGATCAAGTCTCGAACCAATGTGGCCAAACCTTGTTGTTGTTGTTGTTCATTCGTTCAGTCGTCTCCGACTCTTCGTGACCTCATGGACCAGCCCACGCCAGAGCTCCCTGTCGGCCGTTACCACCCCCAGCTCCCTCAAGGTCAGTCCAGTCACTTCAAGGATGCCATCCATCCATCTTGACCTTGGTCGGCCCCTCTTCCTTTTGCCTTCCACTTTCCCCAGCATAATTGTCTTCTCTAGGCTTTCCTGTCTCCTCATGATGTGGCCAAAGTACTTCAACTTTGTCTCTAGTATCTTTCCTTCCAGTGAGCAGTCGGGCTTTATTTCCTGGAGGATGGACTGGTTGGATCTTCTCGCAGTCCAAGGCACTTTCAGAACTTTCCTCCAACACCACAGCTCAAAAGCATCGATTTCCTTTGCTCAGTCTTCCTTATGGTCCAGCTCTCACAGCCATAGGTTGCTATGGGGAATACCATTGCTTTAACTATGCGGATCTTAGTTGCCAGTGTGATGTCTCTACTATTCACTATCTTATCGAGATTGGTCATTACTCTCCTCCCAAGAAGTAAACATCTTCTGATTTCCTGGCTACAGTCTGCATCTGCAGTAATCTTTGCACCTAGAAATACAAAGTCTGTCATGGCCTCCACGGTTTCTCCCTCTATTTTCCAGTTGTCAATCATTCTTGTTGCCATAATCTTGGTTTTTTTGACGTTTAGCTGCAGCCCGGCTTTTGCGCTTTCTTCTTTCACCGATTAGAAGGCTCCTCAGCTCCTCCCGCTTTCAGCCATCAGAGTGGTGTCATCTGCATATCTGAGGTTGTTAATGTTTCTTCCAGCAATTTTACCCCAGCTTTGCATTCATCAAGCCCCGCACATCGCATGATGTGTTCTGCATACAAGTTAAAAAGGTTGGGTGAGAGTATGCAGCCTTGCCGTACGCCTTTCCCAATCTTGAACCAGTCTGTTGTTCCGTGGTCAGTTCTGACTCTTGCTACTTGGTCCTTGTACAGATTCCTCAGGAGAGAGACAAGGTGGCTTGGTATGCCCATCCCACCAAGAACTTGCCACAATTTATTATGATCCACACAGTCAACGGCTTTAGAATAGTCAATGAAGCAGAATAGATGTTTTTCTGAAACTCCCTGCCTTTCTCCATTATCCAGCGGATATTGGCAATTTGGTCTCTCGTTCCTCTGCCTTTTCTAAACCCAGCTTGAACATCTGGCAACTCTCGCTCCATGTATTGCTGGAGTCTTCCTTGCAGGATCTTGAGCATTACCTTACTGGCATGAGAAATAAGGGCCACTGTACGGAAGTTTGAGCAGTCTTTAGCATTTCCCTTTTTTTGGTATGGGGATATAAGTTGATTTTTTCCAGTCTGATGGCCATTCTTGTGTTGTCCATATTTGCTGGCATATGGCATGCATCACCTTGACAGCATCATCTTTTAAGATTTTAAACAGTTCAGCTGGGATCCCGTCGTCTCCTGCTGCCTTGTTGTTAGCAATGCTTCTTAAGGCCCATTCAACTTCACTCCTCAGGATGTCTGGTTCTAATTCATTCACCACACCGTCATAACTATCCTCAATAACCTTGTAGAAACTGTGAAAAAGTTACTCTTGGCAGTGACAGCAGCTACCTGAACATCCAAGAACACTACTGGATTTGAGAAGGATACTATGTGATGGGTGTTGAGTTGTTAAATATGGTGTTGCTCCTTAGTTCATAAGTGGAAATCATCTGGCTCTCCAGAAACTGTTGAACACCTGAAATTGCTCCCAAGGACTCAACTAGCTGGACTTTCTGGAGTTCCAGTCCAATACTATATGCAGACACATGATTCCCGGTACTGCCTTAGTAAGTCAATAAAGTGGGAAAGAAAGCAATACATGTGGAACCACAGAAAAAGAAATAAAATATGCTAGAGCTGGGACTCAAGTGAAGGGAAAAAGGCAAAGAAAAAAGTTATGAATTGCTGTCAAAAGAAGGATTCCTTTATTTTCCTTATAAAGTATTTTCTCATGTTTTCACTGAAGCCCAAAACTGTTTTTGAGAAGGTAGCAACATATTTCTCCAGTAGGAACAAGCAAGGCAAGGCTTAGAGTCTCTATACTTGTAATGACTGTCTTGAGGTAGAACTTTGCTCATAATGAGTTCTCTTGTACCCATATTGTCTCTGGAAGGTAAATTGTCCTTCTTGTGTTTACTTCTGAAATTCTCCGCAGTACTTTGCTAGAGTCACAGGGAGCTAAGGACCACTTGAGCAGCACATGTCCATATGCAAAGCGCATGGAATATATGACTTCTGGAATATATGGCTCAAGTCTTTTCTGAGCTGTGAAACTGCCAGCTGTTCTTTCCAGGTGTGACAATTTGTAGGTACTTCATTTGCAAATTAAGTGTGAGGAGATATTTCAATGGGAAATTCAATTCTGTGATTTTTTTTATTGCTTAAATACTTTATATAGCACTACCTCACTCTGTCTGCCATTCAGATCGAATATTATTTAGTTTGATATATACACAACAAGATTTTGTCTTTTGTTTAAAAAGCCTACCATCTGATTTAACTCTTTATTTGCTTCAGAATTGTTTAGTAATTTGTTTAGTTTCTGTTTAGTCATTTTTGGGGAAGTGTAAGAGCACCAGAGCTACATTATTCTTCATTATTGTAGTGTTGCCATGAGCAATGTCTAATCCATTGCTTGAAATGTTCAGTATAGTTCAATAACATTCTTTTTACATTTGGTACTTTCAAAGCAAATTGTTCTTGAGCAACTCACAAAAAGAAATAGAACGATGTGCATCCAAATAACAAAAGTATACATATTAGGTCTGTGCAATCAATGAAAAAATGTTTCAATGCTCATTATTAAATTGAGGGGCAAGGCAGTGAATCATTTTTAAAGTGTTTCTAAAATATCATTAGGGATCCGTATCATAACTATAATGATATAACAATTTTTTCATTACTTTTTCATTTAGTAATTGCTCAAGGGGGGAGCTTCCGGGGCTTCCTCATTTTTAGAACTATCAGGATTAAACTTGCTACAACAGTAGAACACATTTACCATTGAGTTTTTCATTTGGGAGTTGTAATTATTGGGATTTATAGTTAACCTACAACCAAAGAGCATTCTGAACTCCACCAATGATGGAATTGAACCAAACTTGGCACACAGAACTCCCATGACCAACAGAAAATACTGGAAGGGTTTGGTGGCCATTGACCTTGAGTTTTGGAATTGTAGTTCACCTACATCCAGAAAATACTGTGGACTCAACAGTGATGGATCTGGACCAAACTTGGTATGAATTCTCAATATTCCCAAATGTGGACACTGGTGAAGCTTGGGGAAAATAGATCTTGACATTTGGGAGTTGTAGTTGCTGGGATTTATAGTTCACCAACAATCAAAGTTCCCCTTGAACCTCACCAATGGTAGAATTGGGCCAAACTTCCCAAATAGTACCCCATGAGCAACAGAAAATACTGTGTTTTCTGATGGTCTTGTGTGACCTCTCGGACACCCCGCTCATGACCCCCTAGGGGTCCCAACCCCCAGGTTGAGAAATGCTGTTGTGAGGGAAATCAATACCCACAGAGTGATGAGAAAAGTAATAAAAATCCTCACCTCCTTCAGGGACTAGAAGAACAAAGGGAGAAATATATCTCACTATTTGTTGCTCTTTGATAGGCCATCTTTGAACCTTCTTTTTCTGTGATACATCCTCTCCTTTCACTTACCAATAGGGATATAATTCTTCACTAAGTTTCCTTTCAAAGTAAGAAAAAAGTAATTTTAGAAATTGTATTTTCACTTTGCAAACTATACTGTTTTTGTAAATCTATTTGCAATTCAAGACTTATTCTGTACAACATTCTCATGTGATTGCTTTATATAGAAAACAGCATTCTGTATAAAAATCCTACAAGAAAATTACTTCCTGCACAGGAAGAAAGATGTTTCCTATATAAAAAAAATGTAATTGGGGACTTATTCTTCACAAAATTGGTACATGGATGTTTTTCACACAAAGCATTTTCTGCTCAGGAAATTCTATTTTATATAGACAGAAAATTCTGTGTCCTTTTCAAATCACTCATACATGAATTTTGTAGATAATAAGTCCCCTATTACAGGAAATATATATCGGTAAAAATGTTGTTTCCTGCGCAGAAAAATGCAGTTT